GGAGATAATGAAAGTACTCCTCAAAGAGCTTGCTGTAAGAACAAAATTCATTAATCTTAGTCAAATAGCTGGAACACACTAAGCACAATATGCATTAGCTATTATCATCATCTTTATTTCAGTGTTATATTGGCCACTGCTAGGAGATAACCAGGGGCACACACATCACATTTTTTCTACACCAATACGTTGGCACAATTATTTCATCACCACTGAACCTAACATTTGATGGGACACAGGTGTTGGACCCTACCTAACTGCAATGCCTCTAACAGATGACTGCCACAAAGTAAGCATGCTGCCATACCCGGTTCCAACATTCAGTAACAGCTCCTCCTGATTACCTTACTCAAGGAACTCAGTTTCTTTGGAAATAGAACCCTAGCCTCAGTTCCAGACCACTATATAAGATACACTTCAAAGAGTGTGAACATTAATGTCAGATGTTCGTGAGATTTTAAAAAAAAATGTTTTGTGAGTTTTTCCCCTCTAAAAATGAATCCACAGAACTATTTATTTTTTTTCTTCTCTTTTTTGTCTGGAAATCTGGTGAGGGAAAAGAGCAAGGCGCTCCCTTTCCTGCTTTCTAAGTTCTAACAGGTAAGCGACTCTTGCGCTTAGGTCAATCAAGATAACTACACACACATATTCAGTAATAACCGGGAGCTAGGATCTGAAAGACGAAATTCCAAGTGCACATTCCAGTAAGAAACAAGCGCTGTGATCGTCTGATGGGACAGGTGAAAGAGTGTAGCTCTGCCCAGGTAAGCAGATCACGTCCCGTGCAGCACACACGCTCAGATCCTCCCAGAGAAAGACCAGAAGCGTCCCGTGCATTAGACACACTCCACATGCAACACATCCCCCCACACCGTATTTTCTATCCGACCTCCCAGCAGCAGACACCTTCCGGGAAGCCCAGAGGGCAGTTCCTGGAGACACAGGCAGCTCTGGACCGAGGGAACGCAGGCACACGTGCCCAGAGGCAGCAGGCCTGGCTCGCCCCCGCCTCAGCACTCACCTGGCCGGTGATGCCAGTGATGAGCGCCACCTTCCTGGGCTTGTCCATTTCTCCATCACCAGAGCTCCGGGCGCTAGGGCAGCATGCCGCCGCGTGTGCCATGTCCGGGCAAGCGGGCGTGCGGCCGTGGGCAGGGCGGAGCGGAGTGCGAGCGGCAGCGCCGGCAGGAACGTGGGGGTGTGCCCGCGCACTAGCCT